TCGCAGATTATAAAAAATTGTGAAACACGCTCGTAATAGTTTGAGGTGTACCGTATAGCTGAAATCCACCCATGATTCTACATTAACGATAGTTCTTAAATCAATCCTCGTCCGTCACATTCTCGCACGCGTGGGCGTTGGAATGTCTCGCGCGGCAGCAGGTAACGAACCAAGCTCATTACTCGTCGTCACGTGTCATTCGTGACCTCGTCGTAAATGAAGGGAAACGAGAAGAGGAATCGTCCGGTCGGCCATCCTTGGATCTCGTTATGGCCATTCGTCATTTTCAGCTCTGCGAGAACGATAAGCTGTACACACTTTGTTCGATATTACGTTACAAAATTGCATCATTGAGATTAGAAGTCCTGAATAGCATGACATAAAAGATTAACAAAAAATGACTTCATTAACAATACATTATAACAATATTAAGTGAAAATCGATAAAGAAATGTTCAACGCCATTAGGCAAATTTAATAATATCGATATTAAATTCTCTATAGAATGTTTTAAAGATGTTTATTAGTATTAGTAATATTAAATTGCTTATTTTTTAATTTGTGATATTACGCATTCCAGCTTCAGTATAGAACTGTCAACTGTATTTTAAGACTGACAAATAATCGTCGCACAGTTTGCTTGAACTGGAAATTGTGAAAGTCCATCATCAAAAATATTAGACAAATATTAATAGAAGCTTTAACCGAATATAGCTTTCTTTGCTTAATTATATTGACCATTATAACAATTTATTATAATAATAGATAACTGAAAGATGTGCGACGGTCAAAGGAAAGCAACACGAATCATATACTGGAAAAAGAGTTTGGTTAATTGGAATTCTGGTTGAAAATCAGAAAATTTTGAATTCCTTAGAAGATACTACTTCATCTTCTAAGGAATTCTGGTTAAAAATTTAACTGTATCATCTTGAATCTATAATAATTTTAGTTGAGATAATCAGAATTCTGATTGATTAGAATTTTCTAGTTTATCCATTTTCAACCATAAATTTTCTCAGCTTAACCGTGTATTCTTCATGATTATTTAATTACCTCATTAATAGCGCGACTTAATAGATGTGTAAAACGCGTTCGTCGAGGCGTACAATGCGTTACCTCTGTCTCGCCCCGCCTTGTTACGGCTATCCGTCATTTTCACACCTCGGAATGATAGAAATGCGCGCGTGAGACGCTTTCGAGGAGGAAACGCGGCAATTGTACGTCGCAGGCGGTTACGACGGCGATAAGCCATGCCGTCGTCGCGTCGCGTTGCGTTACTTCGCTCCGACTTCTCGCATGTCGCGCTGCATAAAATTAACTCGCGAATTAGTCCCGCGCACACGCAACGCGAGTGTAGACACATCCCCGACACGAACACGCGATGTACCCGCTTAAGACGTCGCGATTCACCTTAATGCGCCCGAGGCTTATATCGGCTGATAATAACGACGTAATATTGTTGAACTTAGCGAAAGAAAATCTTCTTGACAGAAGAAAGAAGATGAATTATTCATCGACAGTTATCGAAGCGGAACAAAAACGTGATAAACTCATATATTTGTTGTGTTTACAGTGCTACGGAATCACTTAGCAGCCTATAATTATTTCATAATGGCTGTTAAAATACGATCTATTCATCATAACGTAATTAAATAAAACGTTACTATTAAAGATCGTAGTATTAATTTATTAAGAGGCTAAACGACTTTTACGATAAGAAGATGCGTCATACACAAGCTTGAAAAGACGTTGAAGATATTTATAGTGTATCGCCAATAGTAGTTCATATATATATATCTGGTTATATATACAGGATTTTCAACAATTCATCTAATTTTTATTTCATCAGAAGAACTGAAGCCTGTGTTGTTGTTTTTCTGTTTTTGACTAGTTCAAGCTGTATTTCTTTCAAATAAACAGATTATTACTACACGTTTAAATTTTTTTTATTTCGGAAACTAAGCCGTTTAGGACACATATTTATATGGACTTTTTTACTTGAAATAAACTAAAGAATCGCTCTGTTGAATATAGCAACATACTTGACTAACACCCTATGTATACATATATGGTCTTATCTCAGCACGGAACATTTCGTGCCAGGCCAATTTTAAATGATTTGATCACGCTGCGCGCTGCATCGGTGATCTATGATGTTTTTGTTTGCATTTATTATTTTAACCATTATGAAATATATGTTATTTAACACGTATTTCATAATGGTTAAAAATTATAAAAATTATTCTTTCTTTTTTTATATTTGAATTTTATTCTTATGATTCTTTTCACATTTTAAATTAAACAAAAATTAATATTATTATAAAGGTCTAAGATACCAATATTACATCATGTATCATAATTATGTATTTATATATGATATAAAAATTATTTCATAACTACATTTCTTTTTATAGCTGAAATATCAAATGGATATGAACGAAAGTCCAGCGTGGATTCCACCGGTGATTCATTACCTATAGAATGTCTCAATTAGCCGGGACTCCTGTTATCATTTATTTCATAAATTCTTTTATATACAGGGTGGACCAAATGAGTCTATAATGGGAAATATCTCGAAATAGAGGCATAATACAAAAAAATACTTCAGACAAAAGTTGCAGGGGGCAAAGGGGGACACGCAATGGTATCATTGACTTTGACCTTGAACTCGATTTTCATGGTTATTTGAAGGTCATGATCATTTTTTTAAATGGAATTATATGAATTTTTTTACATAATATGATTCCTCTAATTATTCTGCATATAAAAGTATATGCAGTATATGCAGTATATGCAGTAATTATTCTGCATATAAAGGTAGCGATATCAAAAAACCAATAGTTTACGAGATATTTTATATTTCATTGTGGCACATATTGACATAAAATATTAAATAATTCGTAAACTATTAATTTTTTGATAACCATACTTTAATACTTTTATGAACAGAATAATGAGATGAATCAATTAGTGGAAAGAAAACACATAGTTGCTT